TCATTTTGTTGTCTTATTGCTGTAAATAGAACTTCAAGTACAATATTGAAGAGATATGGAGAAAGTGGACAGTCTTGTCTTGTTCCTGATTTTAGAGGAATTGTGTTGAGTTTTTCCTCATTTAGTTTGATCTTGGCTGTTGGTTTCCTGCATATTACTTTTATTATGTTCATGTATGTTCCTGTTATCCCTGATCTCTCTAGGACCTTTATTATGAAGGGGTGCTAGATTTTGTCAAAGGCTTTTTCAGCATCTAGTGAGATGATCATGTGGTTTTTCTTTCACATTTTGTTTATATGGTGGATTGCATTGATAGATTTTCTAATGTTGTATCATCCCTGCATTCCTGGGATGAAGCCTACTTGATCGTGGTGGGTGATTTTTCTGATGTGTTCTTGAATTCAATCTACTAATATTTTATTGAGTATTTTTACATCGATGTTCATGAGGGAAATTCGTCTATAGTTCTCTTTCTTAGTTGTGTCTTTGTGTGGCTTGGGTATCAAGGTAATTGTAGTCTCGTAAAAAGAGTTTGGCAGTGAGCTAGGAGGGCTACTGATTTTTGCGAGTCACTTTTATAGCCAGCTACTCTATTGAAAGTGTTTATCAGCTGTAGAAATCCACAGTGGAAGTTTTGTGTACTATCATATTTTATTTTTTATTTAAATTAGAATCCTTTCTGTTTTACATATCAAACCTAGTTCTCTCTGCCTCCCCTCCTCCCCTGTCCCCCACTAACTTCTATCCCATCCTTTTTCTGCTCTCCAGGGAGGAAGAGGCCTTCAATAGAGGATCTTCAAAGTCTGTCAGATCCTTTGGGACAGGGTCTAGGGCCTCCCCCATGTGTCTAGGCTAAGAGAATATCCCTCTATGTGGAATGGACTCTCAAAGTCCATTTGTATGCTAGAGGTAAATACTCATCCACTACCAGAGGCCCCATAGATTGCTGAGGCCTCCTTGCTGACACCCATATTCAGGGGGTCTGGATCAGTCCTATGCTTGTTTCTCAGCTATCATTCTGGTGTCCATGTGCTCCACCCATGTTCAGGCCAGTTTTTTCTGTGGGTTTCACCAGCCTGCTCTTGACCGCTTTGCTCAACACTCCTCTCTCTGCATTTGGATTCCATGAGTTCAGCTCATTGTTTAGCGATAGGTGTCTGCTTCTGCTTCCTCATCTACTGGATGAAGACTCTAGGATGGCATATAAGATAGCCATCAGTCTCATTATTGAGGAAGGGCATTTAAGGTAGCCTCTTCACTGTTGCTCAGTTTGTTATGTGGTGTCATCTTTGTATATCTCTGGATATTTCCCTAGAGCCAGATTTCTTTTTAAACCAATAATGGCTCCCTCTATTATGGTATCCCTTTTCTTAATCTCCTCTGTTCTTCCCCTGACTCAACTCATGTCCTCCTCACCCCTCCTCTTCTCCACTTCTCTTTCCTCTAATTCCCTCTCCCTTCCCCCCATGCTTCCAAATTTCTCAGGGGATCTTGTCCCTTTCCCCTTCACCAGGGGACCAAATATGTATCTCTTAGGGTCCTCCCTGTTTCCTAGTTTCTCTAGCAGTTAGGATTGTAGGCCGGCAATTCTTAACTCTATGCTAAAATCCATATATATTAGTGAGCACATACCAAGTTTGTCTATTTATATTATCATTTTTGGATGCACAAATCCTGATACATTGGCTTCCCTCTTTCCAACTTGATATCAAATTTTTACCTTCTCTGTATTTTATAATTTTCTCCATAATTTTATGTTAATCACAAATATACTGTCATTTAACCCTTGCTCGATGTATTTGTATCATCTGGGAATCAGCACAGAAAACAATACTGGGTTTCACCCTTTATAACAAACTTCTGTACACCACAGGTAAAATGAGGGTAACAGACAGAATACAAAATTGTCACTATTTCATTACAATAATTTTTTTATATTTCCAACCACCCGAATATTTCTCCAGGCTGAGTAGATGACTTAGTGAACAAAATATTTACAATGTAAGTATGAGGATTCAAGTTCAGATACACATCATTTACATAAAAACTTGAGCAGATGTTGAGGCCATCTATAACCACATCACTCAATGGGAACAAGTTGCCTATCTAGATTGGGTGATGGGTAAGCTCTTTATTCATTTGAGAGACTCTGCCTCAGAAAATAAAGTATAAAGCAATGGAGAAAGAAACACAATGTTAACTTGTTCTCTCCATAAGCCTTCATAGACATGTAAATAACATACATACCAACACATAGTAACACACATATAGTTATGTATAACATACACTCATGGACACAGAAATAAAACACATTTTTCCTGGTCTGTGGATCACACCTAGGGCCTGATACATGCCAACCAAACACTCCTACACTAACACTCCTCCACTAAGGCACACATGGAACCCCTAACTGTCAAAATGTTTAAAAAATCCCAAGTTCTTGAATATTAAAACGAGGAAGAGTATTTTAACTCTCCCTGGTATCTTAAAATGGATAAAATTAAATCCTCATTTTAGGCCTCCCCTCAAGGATAACTGAAGATTAAAAGAGGAGTAAAGACCTAGACAGCTGCAACCATAATCCAGATTGGGATCAAGCAGATGTCTATGCTGAGTTATTATGTGTCTATTTGTGACACATACGGTCTATAGCCATCTCTCCTATAGATGACATAGCATGTGCCACCCATTGATGTCTGAAGTGTGGGCCAGACTCCCACTTGAGAAGAACATAGTGCACAGGTGAAATCATCCTGGAGTATTTTGTAACTGAAGTGGCTAGTTTGTCATAAAGATCATCTGTAGATACAGATGTGGGGGAAAACCAATAAAGATTGCAACCAGTGTGACAACTTAAGTTCAATTCATGGGACTCACATGACTAGAGGAGAATCATGATTCCTTCAAGTTGTTTCCTGACCACAAATAAATAAATGAACAATCTGCCAAAATCCTGTTGGCAAGGTATTCTGTATTCTGACATCTCTGTGTTGTTATTGCTGTTGCTGTGATTTTAGTTCGGGATTTGTTTGTTTTAGTTTGATTTTTGAGATAGGTCTCACTATACAGCCTTGACTAGCCTAGTTCTCATAGAGATTTGCTGGCCTCTGCCTTTAAGAGTTGGGGTTAAATATCGGCACAGCCACACCTAACTGCATAATGATTTGGCTTCATTCTTTCCTACTGAAACACCTAGAGTAGATTACAATAAATAACAAATACAAAAAATAACAAATATTGGAGTGTTATAACTTTGAGAAGACTGTAATTGCAAAATGATGCACACCACATAGAACACATGGCTCAGAGTATAGAGAGCATTTTATCTAGAATGCTTTCAGGTTTGGAATTTAGCTCAGTTGAAGAATGCTTGCCCACATTCAGTCTCCAGAGCTAAGACCAAAATAATAAATCTTTCATGATGTTGTAATTACAAGCATTCCCTTTAAATCTTTACCATCACTTCCATAGGCCTTTGAATTTCCTAGGAAACACTTTAAATGCACACATTTTCCTGCTAGCATATGGAGAACATTCATGGTAACTAGAAATAGCGTGAGAGGATTGAACAAAATTTCCAGGATTACCACCTTAACTGAGAATGTAATTATGCTCTTTCTAAGCTGAAATTTTGCAAGCCAATATCCTGCCATCTAGCTATACATATGATAGTATTCATTCTGTTGATAGTCAAACATGTTTTTCTGGTAGTCCCTCCTCCATGTATCATCCCTTTGACACTCATAAGTTGAACTAATTCCGTGCTGAATCTTGACCAAGAACGCCAGGTACAATGTTCTTTGCTCACCAGGAGCTGAGGCTCCACGTTCAGGAGTGGTAGTGATACAGTGTCTCAAAAGTGCTCAAACTCAGTGAATCATGGATGGAAGAGAACAAAATATGGTGCCCTGTGGGCTGGGGATAGTAACTGAAGAGATGGAATAAAGGCTTATTGTTGGCAACTATATGACATTGGAGGATCAATATTTTTGTCTTTTATATTATTTTTAAATTTAGATTAGAAACAAGGTTGCTTCACATGTCAATCCCAGCTGCCTCTCCATCTTCCTCCTCTCTTCTCATGCCATCCCACCAACCTTCCTCTTACCCTCTCCCAATCCCCACTCCTTTCCCCCGGGAGGGTAGGGCCCTCCTGGGAGATGTCCATAGTCTGTCATTTCATCCAGGGCAGGGCTTAGGCCCTCCCTGAAGAGTCCAGGCTGAGAGAGCAACTCTCATTGTGGGATGGGCACCCAAAGTCAATTGCTTTGCCAGGGATAAATATTGATCTACTACCCAAGGACCCATAAATTGCCTCCTCACTGACACCCACATTCAGGGGGTCTGGATCAGTCCCATGCTGGACTCCCAGCCATCAGTTTGGGTTTAAAGATCTCCCCCTTGTTCAGGTCAACTCTTTCTATGGGTTAAATAAGCCCAATCTTGACCCCTCTGCTCATCATTCCTCCCTCTCTTTCACTGGGTTGCTTGAGTGGAGGGTTGATCTTTAAATACTCAGTTTGGTCCATGTTTTCTCAATTCACAATGACTTCCTAGTAATAATGGAAGAAGAAGTGTAGGAAATGAATGTTTATGAAAGTTTAGTTCTCCTCTAACCCAGCAGAAACTCATGTGTAGTATTCATTTCTTTCATGCTTTTTCTGATGCCTAGATAGTTTTTATTGCCATTATTTGTATATTACAAATAATGAGATAGAAAAATAAGCATTTAAATATTGTTATGTGTCTAGTTCATTGGTAACAGTTACATCCATCTCTAGTGCTTTTTTGTGTCACTAATTGAAAATTTATATACATTTTTAACTTTCCTTATTCCCTCTCCACAACTTTGCTATTATTCTATTATGAAATGTAAGAAACTACTAACGTCCTCAAAATCCAAACCTAATGTATCTGTAGAATCAGGGTGCATAGATTTAGAAGTTTTGCTCTGCTGTATTTACCACCCACATTCCAAATGAGTGTCACAAAAACTGAAATTACAGTGCTCTGCTGTATAGTCTCCTCACTGATCTTTCAATGTCCTTGTTCCCAAGGCTGTAGATTAAGGGATTTAACATAGGAGTGACCACGGTGTACATCAGTGAATCCACTGCAGTATTTCTGGGACAATGTGATACAGCTGAACCAAGGTATACACCAACATCTGTTCCATAAAATAAGCAAACAACTGACAGGTGAGAGCCACAAGTGGAGAATGCTTTATGTCTCCCACCTGAAGATGGAATTCTCAGAATGGAGAAAACAATTTTGTAGTAAGAGAAGAAAATTCCAGAGAGAGAGAAAGTAAACCAAATGTAGCAACAACAAAATAAATGACTCTGTTGTTAATGAATGGGTTGAAGCAGGCAAGATTAAGGAGTTGTGCAGGCTCACAGAAGAAATTGGAAATTGCTACATCTTTGAAGTAGATGATTTGCAATGCCATGAGGTTGTGTGCCTGAGAATCTACAAGACTCACCAAAAGAGACAGGGAAACTAAGGAGACACAGAGGCAAGGACTCATGATGAGTGAGTAATGCAGAGGATGAAAGATGGCCACAAACCTATCATAGGCCATCACAGTCAGAAGCATACCATCCATACATCCAAAAACGACAAAAAATGACCTCTGCATAAGGCAACTCACATAGATGATCTCTTTGCTATGAGTTTGGATGTTCACAATATTTGGGACTGTGGTAGAGATAAAACAAATGTCAACCAAGGACAGATTGCAGAGAAATAAGTACATCGGAGTGTGGAGGTGGGAGTCAGAGCTCACAGCCAAGATGATGAGCAGATTCCCAATCACTGTGACTAGGTAGATGGACAGGAACAGTCCAAAGAGGATGGGCTGCAGTCCTGGATCATCAGAGAATATCATGAGACAGAATTCTGAGACACGTTAGGTTTTGTAGTTCTGTGTTATTTGGACAGCTTATAAAAAATGAAAAAGGGATTAGCAAAAATGAAAGAAATTTACCATCATTCAATACTGTGTGTTGTGGATTAAAGCAACTGTCTTGCAAAATGATAGGTGACTATACATCTTTGGCAATATTTCTGATTTTCTGTAATCTCATAATTCTTTCTCAACTTATTTTTTGTTGACAATTTCCCACAGATATACAGTATATCATGGTTATATTCTCCCATTATCTTTATCAATCCATCTCTCATCCATTATGACATCCTTCTTCTATCAGCTAGTCCCCTCCTACTTTCACTCCTTTTTGTATAGGCCTTGTACAGGTGGTCACAGTTGCTACATGTTTATGCATGCAATGGCCAATCCATATCCAGAAGATAGCATTTCTTAGTACTATTTCCCATGCTCCTGTTTTTACATTTGTTCTGCCTACTCTTATCTGATGCTCCCTGGGTCATGGAGAAAGTGACATACATATCCTTCTTAGGACTGAGCACTCAACAGTCTTCTCAGTACTTGAACCAGTTGTGAATCTGAATTAATTGTCACCCACTGAAAAGAGAAGTTTCTCTGACCAATGTTGTAGGTGGAACTAATCCAAAGACAAAAATGCAAACTTACTTCCTATTTATTTTGTGTTATTCATCTCTTTCTACACTCAATTACATTTGACATGCTTAGGAAGCATGAAGCTCAAAACCATTATATATACCATCCTCTGATCACAAAATAATACAAACAAAAATTATGATAAAAAACAAAATCTCCTTCACAGACTGAGAAAATATAATTCTAACTAAAGGAAATTAAGACACTACCCAAAACAGTTGTGTTATTCTAAGATGATGTATGAATTGTCTTGACATGGACTATTTACAACATTTCTGTAAGGCTAGAGAACACATTGTTGTGATTCAAAATCACATTGAAAGTTTGTAATAACAGAGAATTTTTGTAATGTTTTTATTTAAATTAGAAACATGAATGCTTCCCGTGTCAATCCCAGTTCTCTCTCCCACCCCTCCTCCCTTGTCCCGCCACCAGCCCACCATCCCCCACCCAATCCCCATATCATTCCCCAGGGAGTGTGAGGCCCTCCAAGAGCATCCCTCTATTTGGAATGGGCTCCCAAAGAACATTCATAAACAATGGTAAACACTGATCTACTACCCAAGGACCCAGTGATTTCTGTGGCCTCCTCACTGATGCTACATTCATGGAGTCTGGATCATTCCCCTGTTGGCCTCTCAGGCATCAGTCTGCATTCCAGTTTAATTGCTTAATTCTTTGATTTTCTATTTCACTGATCGCTGAAAATAAGGGCTTACTCAAATTCATGGACAGTCTTAAAACAGCTTCTCACCCTGTCCTGAACTATGCTCGACTTCCACTTTGACAAATGTGCATATGGCCTAAAGTGCCCTGACCACATAAGGCATTAATGAGAAATAATTTAAAAACTTTTAAAAATACTTCTGAAATATTTTATTTTATAGAATTTTGTATTAACCCCATATAATCCTTTAAAAATATCCTAACTATAAGATCATCTTTTGCTATTTTTTGCTATATGCTATCCACTCCTTTTCTGGTCATAAACTCTTGTATACACAAATGAGAAATATAGCACCTGGAGTCTCCCAGGAGGAGGTTTTCCATCTAGTTGAGAAAACTTCATGCCAATTCTCCCTCCCCAAACAAGATCCCTTGTCTAGTGAAGTGGGGGAGATGCCGATTGGACTGAGAACCAGTGTGGGGGAAGAGCAGACTCTGAGAGTGCCTAGAAAACAACTCAGTCCTCAGAGCAAAATATTTGGAAGCTGTTATTCTCCCCTCCATCCCCACAGTCATGCCTCTTAATGACAAAGAAACAGTGTTCCTGACAGTCCCTCTACCCTCCCACCATGTCAATTGGCACTTACTGGACGAGGATGTGCCTCTGCAAGGGCATTGCCAACTGCTTCTTTCCTGTCTAATATTCACCAAAGCTACAGGCTGTGTGCTCAGGAGTTGAAAACATGACAGGCTCGAGTTAATAAAGGTGTCCAAAGGAGGTAAGAGACATTGGTTGAAGCTGGCAAAGTAAAAGGCTGAAAGTAATGGCTAATTACTTCAATTGTGTGACCTTGGGGGCTTAATGGGCACAGCTCCTAATTAGTCAATTGGTCCACAATACACCTTGCTTTGGGGACTTGTTACTATTAACAGTAAAAAGAAGACAGAAAATGTGCTTGCAAATTTCAATAGCGCTTGTCCACAGACCTTTGTAACTTTTGTTAATAGAATATTTGTATACAACTAAGACTACATTTTCACCTTACTTTTCAAGACAGGGCCTCTCTGTGTAGCCCTGGCTGTTCTGTAACTCTCTGTGTAGATCAGGCTGTCCTCAAACTCATAGAGATCTGCCTGCCTCTGCCTCCCAAGCAGTGGTACTAAAGGTATGCACAACTGTGCTCCACAATACTACTATATTTCAATTCAGCTTGGGGTTTTGCCATCTGCCAATGCATTGTATTGCTCAGGAAATCAGAGTAGGGGTAGGACATCCATGCTAGTCACCACATACTATTTCCATTTCTCAGTTTTTGTCTCTAAGGAGACAGTTTGATTTCTATTTCCTTTCCCTTTATTCATGCTAATATTTTACCAACATAATATTTTCATTTATTACTTGGAAATTTCACATGATAAACCCCAATCATAATCATTTCCCAATCCTCCTAAATCTTACCCTCCACCCTTTTGACTGATCTACCCCTCCAAAAACAAAGTTCAATTTGTGTTGCCCATATATTTACTGGATCATGGTCAAACTCCCAGTGACTAGCCAGTAAAATAAAACTGAGTCCTTTCCCAACTGTATCTTGTCAGAAACCATCAATTGGAAAGCCATACTTCAGCATCCTTATCACAATTTTAAGAAGTTTCTTTGAAGGATTTCTGTCTATATTTTTACTTTAGGGGGAGGGGGAGTGGTTGCCACAGAAGCCTTCTATGTCCCTCTTTCTCAACTGTGAGTCTACACTCATAGATACCACTGCAAAAGTAGCTTCCCTAACCTTTACAGTAAATAGAAGAATGAATCATGAACTTCCACAGACCCTAATATGGCAATGGTGAAAGCATGGACCACAGCCAGAGTAGGACCGTGGACCCAGACCTTCATGCTAGTATTTTATGTATGGGAGAAATATCAAATTTTGCTAACTGAATTGAGTGTTCAGGTCTAACATTTTCTCCCAATGGAACTATTTAGGACAAAACTTTTGATGTTTGTATATTTATTTTATAATATAGAAAAGGCAACAGTAATCAAGCCATTTTCTTTTTTCAGATGAATCACAACAGTTAAACATATGGCATACTATGATTTTATATAGGTATATTCTGTGTAATGTTCAAATTGACATGAGTATTTGATGGCTAAGAGATTGTTCAACAGTTACATGCACTTGCTGTTCTCCCAGATGATCTGGCTTCAGTTCCCAGGACACACATGTAGGTTCACATCTACCAATAATTCCAATTCCAGGGACACTGATTTCCCCTGGTCATCATGGTCACTGTGCACATGTAGTGCACAGAAAAACATGCAGGTAAATACACATGTTTAAAATATACAAATATGTATATACATACAATAACAATGAAAAAAGAGGCCATTAATTTGAAGACAATTGAATAGAGATATGTGAGAGAGTTTGAAGGAAGGAGAGAAGGAAAGGTTAAATGTTATTATTGTATTATAATCTCATAAATAAAATTTTAAGAATTAAGCCAGTCATGGTGGTACTTGCCTTTAATCCCAGCACTTAGGAGGCAGAGGCAGATGCAGGTGGAGCTCTGTGACTCCAAGGACAGTCTTGTCTATGAAGTGGATACCAGGACAACCAGAGCTGTTACACAGAAACTCAGTCTAAAAATAAAACAAGAACAATTAAAATTTTTAAAAAAGTAATTCTTGATGACAATCTTTTGATACCCTCCATTTACTAATTTAATAAATTTCATTGGCTCCTTTAGTGAAATTTTACATTTGGAAACAATTTAGTATACCTGGTTCAATAAACCTGTTGGTTGTACAGCAGTGCTTCCCATGGTACAGGCAACACATGATGAGCTCCAGAACAATTGTGAAGTAAGATTCCTTGGTAATGAAGCATAATAAAGGAAGGAAAGATGTGAGGAGCCGCCCTCGCTATCGCTATTGCCGTTAGAAGATGGCGCTGACATCCACTGTCAGTTGGAGTTAACTGTCGCTGTCAGTTGGAGTTAACTGTCGCTGTCAGTTGGAGTTAACTGTCGCTGTCAGTTGGAGTTAACTGTCGCTGTCAGTTGGAGTTAACTGTCGCTGTCAGTTGGAGTTAACTGTCGCTGTCAGTTGGAGTTAACTGTCGCTGTCAGTTGGAGTTAACTGTCGCTGTCAGTTGGAGTTAACTGTCGCTGTCAGTTGGAGTTAACCGTTTAAACTGTGCCTCTCCCGTGACGTCATCTGGGGTGATGTGCAAACCACCAATCCCGGCTCTACACATCTCACTCGGAGCTCCTAGGCTTATATAAGGGGCTGGGTTTCTTAGCTTGGGGTCTCCCTCTAAGAAGCTGATCATCTATCTCTCAAGATGCATTAAAGCTTTACTGCAGAAGGATCCGAGTGTTCTGCGTCGTTCTTGCTGGCGAGACGGTAGCGCGGGACAGAAAGAGATTTCCTTGTACCTCACATTCAGTGAGCAATGAGAACTGAGTTTCTGGGCTCAGGAACAAAGTGATATATATACCTCCTGATTAGATGCCTCTAGGATCTGAAAGACTTAAGACATAGGATGAAATTTACTTTTGTGTAACTTAAAGAAGTTTGCACGAACATAAACATCCATGATGTCCTTTCTATAATTGCAATGGGATTATCATCATTATACAACACATCAAAGGACCATGTTTTTTTTTTGTTTTTTGTTTTTGTTTTTTGAGACAGGGTTTCTTTGTGGCTTTGGAGGCTGT